GGACCCATTTGTCCTGGGCCTCCTGGTCCCATTTGTCCAGGTCCTCCAGGACCCATTTGACCGGGTCCACCGGGTCCCATTTGTCCACCAGGGCCCATCTGTCCGGGTCCATTAGAACCCATCTGATTGGGACCACTTTGCATCATATGAGATCCACTTTGTGGTCCATTTGGACCCATTTGTCCAGGTACCATTGTTCCAGGACCTTGAGAGGTAGGTACAACTGGGCCGCTTTGATTCTGTAAGAAAAAAAGAAAATCTCATATAAGTCAATATTTATAATCAAGAATATTTTCGGGAAAATCAAATTTAAATTTTTAGGTAATTGATTCACAATTTTCTCTGTAATATGTATATTTTAATCTATATTTAATGTATATTTTAATCTGAAGACGCGGTAGTGTCTTGGTATAACTACAAGATATACTGGAGATTTGAAAATATGTGATGACACAAAATATACAGATATGGGCAAAATATATTTTTAATAAAATTGTGGAGATATGGAAAAAATATTTTTAATAAAATAAAAAAAATAAAAGAGCTAAATAAGACTGTGTGTAACAATTATAATATTTCTAATGCTTGCAAAAGTATACAGAAGTATATAATGCTTACACATAAAAATCTGCAAAAACAATATATTGATATTGCAATGTTCATCGCGTGTGCTTTATATTGTGGTGATTAACATATAGCTTCAGCAGTAATAACGGTCAATTTCATCACACTGATAAAAGTTGCAAAAACGGCAGGATCAGGTGCAAGAGAAATACACATAGTCATGTAAGACCTGATGCGATTGTGGCCGTACGTAAATTAAGATGTATTTATTTAATCGAATTATATTCGTATGTATAAGTTAAGCTCTGACGCCTTGTTCACGTTGCCAACTAAATCATAATATCACGTTCTTGAAGCATGCTATCAAGACAGCTATCGCAAGCATTGATCGATAAACAAAACAATATATAAGAATACTTTATTTGCATATTATTGTGCAATAATAGGAACGTTTGACAAAAATAAAAAGATTTTTTGCAATCCTTTTAATTTCTTCCATTTTCAATAAGACAATTTATCAATAGGAAATTTTTACCTAATTTTTAAAAATATTTTTAAAATTTTTTATAATCTTATTTTTTTAATATTTTTTATTGTAAATAATAATAAAAACTGTGTATTAAATCTTAATTAAAATCTGATTCTAGTATATTTATTGCCTTATCTAGTTCTTATTTAATATTTTTAGCACGTAACGATTTCACTATAATTATAAAATAATTCTAAAATTTTTTATAATTGTGTCTGTAAAAACATTTTTGTAATACGTATACTTTAATTCTGATAATGATTATATATCTTTTCATTTATCCTGCAAAACATTCCCTACGATGAACGAAGTTCGTTCATCTTCGAATTGGCGCCTTCGAATCGCTATAAAATTTAATCAACATATTCTTTGGCGATGTTACCAAATTGACTTATATAATACTTCTTTGTTGCATAATGTGATGTAATAAATATGTATAAAAAATATTCTTTATCTTTTCGAATAGTGTCTTCGATATACTAAATTAATACTCGAATGCAAGAGTGAATTTAGAAAAAAATTATCGACAGCTGCGAATAATTTTAAAATATTATGCATATCATTTTTTTAAGAATATACGGTAAAGATATCACTTATCTTTACAGCATTACCAAGATGAACTTTTCTGTAATAGGATTTAGTAATAAAATCTTTAATTCTCTTCTCAAACATAATATATCGCAGAAAGAATGGAAAAGAACTCAAGAGAATTCGATATTTCTATTAAGTCAAGTGAGCGTGAATTCATAGTGGGGATGACAATCTTATCCGACAATCGCATCATAAGAACAATCGCGATATCCAGACGGAATACTTTAAATAAAGCATACTATCGCGATATGTCATTCGTAAACTTGTAAAAGAAACGGGATATTTCAGATTCGAATTAACAAAAATGTCTACTCAAAAGGAACTCTATTACTGCTACGACTTCATTTTAGATTTTACAATAAAATCTGAGAAGGTGAATATGGTACTATCATCCTGTAATTTACTAAGATACTAACTTGACTCTTTGAAGTTAATATTATATCTGCTACTGACAATTATTTTGCAAGGAAAAAATCTGAATTAAAAATAGAGCAGAATGAAATAATGACAAGCATAAAAAACACAAGCATAAAACACAATTTATTGCATTTTTTTTTCTGAAAAGTGATAATAAAAGTCCAAAGAAAGCTGATGAGATATTAAAATATAAAAATAAATATTATTTTTCAATATTGTAAAAATATTTTTTAATTTATTTTTCATTACATATAGAACGTCTATTTATATATAGAGGTGCTTTATACTTACAGCCAAGGTTATATATTCTATAATTGCGTATGATTGGAAAGATTATCGATTGCCAGACATGACAGATTGTCTTTAATGTAACTTCGCTGATTAATATTCCAAGGCGCAATAAAATTAGTCAGATATGTTATTTCTGAAGATTCATTTCACAAGTTATTAAACAGATTACAATTGATGAATTATATATTTAAAAAACAGCCAATATCATTACTTCACTTACTATTTTTACAGAAATAACATTAAAACATATGCAATATTATTTTCAGATGATTCGTGATGCTTTTCAAGGATCTAATTGAAACAAAAGCTGGAGATTGTGTGGGATTTAGTGACGCAATACAATCGAAAAATCAAAGCAATTTTAATGGATAATTTAGCAAAAAAATTTCCATAGGTTACTAAATTTAATTTGATGAAATTGAATATATTAATGTTTGTGTACATATCATAATTTGTTTATGTATAGTTTGTGTATAAATCATAATTATTTGTTTGTGTATAAATCATAATTACGTAATAAATAACTATTTCATGAATTACTATTCATGTAATATCTTTTTATACAAAATTTTGGAATGTTTGTTATAGATTTACGTATTAGATTTATTGGTGAAGAAACAGTTCCAATTGTCTGCCAGAATTTACGGAATGCAATTACATGGGTTATTGATCTCATTGATGGAACAACGAACTTCGTACATTCTTTTCCATAAACTTGCATATCGATTGCATTGGCTGTAAATAAGGAATTTGAGATTGGAATAATTTATAATCCCGTTTTAGAACACTTATTTATGTACAATTAGAAAAGGACATGGAACGTATTTCAATGAAAAACTGATTAAGAGCTCGAGCTCGATAGAAGGTAAAGTATTATTTTTTTATCTTTCATTAATCATTTCCATTCTTTTTTTCTTTCGTTTTGGAATTCTTCATAACAAAGACAAAATGTCCGCATTCTCTATCAAATAAGCGTGCATAATTTTTAGAGAAGATACACATTTCTCTCCAATGTTATTTAAAATAATTAAAAAAGCTAGCGTCACGTCTTTATTAAAATGATATGTCGAGTAAGTATTGTTTATAATTTTAAAATAGCTAATTTTATTATTTACGAATAGCTAATTACGACAAACACGTTCAATTATTTATTATTTGTTTAAAACAAAGTATACAACACATTCAATCACGAGATATTAAAAATCACTATGACGCGATAAATACAATGTATAACAAACTGAACAAGTAAAGATCATGCAAATGTGCATGGAATTAATAACGTTAATTGTAAGAGAGCACGCTAGACCAGCTCATAGGAGCATACTTTGCAGTTTGAGAGTAACAGCGGGCCTGACCAAGCCTACTGGCGAGCGTTGAAAGTATATTATAAAATATCACGCACGTAGTTACGCAAAATAGTAAGTAAAAATTATTTACGCTTTGTTATTTCCTAATATCTCAAATACATAAATTCATAAACAATATTTTACATATATCGTATATAATTATCTGGCATAAATAGTAAATACATTATATTTAATTCATGCATAATTAAAATAGAAATGTTTAATGTGACGTAGTAGTATTAAAAATTAGTTGTATTCAAGAAAGAACTATTTTATTCATATAAAAGATTTCTTAACGTTTAATTCGTAAGCAACTCATAAGTATCAAATACTTGTTTCAATGAGCGCTTGGCTCTGCTTTGTCTGTGCTCGTAATATAATTAATGAAATTCCACAAGCCGAATTCCTTTTCTCCGCCCATCTTACTAATATTATTATTTATGATGAAGTCATGACACATATAAAGGCGGCTTCAAATGTAGACCAACTTTATACATATTCGTTAAATATTGACTTACTTTCATAGATAATTCATGTAATAAATTAACTAAATTATGTTATAAAAAAACACGTGGATAATGTTCGTACAGCATATATAGTCAACATGACTTAGCATTGGTAGCTAATGTATTCGTTAACATTTGTTAATATTGTTAATAATGCATTAGCCAGTCTACCGTGTAAGATACGAAGGCGAATTATTGATGGTATGTCTGCATGGTATGTCTTAAAAATTTCTACATAAATCGCAAACACAAAACGGAGTTCGCAACGTTTGTCGTGACAATCAATCAGAAGTAATCAATAGTACCACTGACGCTTTGAATTTGTTATCGCTACAAGTGTTGCAAACTACAATAAGTATTAAATTTACTACTTAGAATAATCTTAACTTTTTGTACAATATTAATTCAGTAAATATAGACTCTATTCAATAAATATAAATTATAATTGTATAATAAATAATGTTACTTATTACGAGGAACATAATATTAATATGCATAATTGCATAAAATATTATATATCATAAAAAAGTCAATATATATGGCGTTTTTCACATATGTATGCAAGGAAAACAATAAACGTGAAAGTATCTCTTTTCATTATAAAGCAAACTTCAAATTTCTAAAAAATTTTTTAATGCCTTTTATAAATTATAATAAGCTATCAACACACAAAATAAAGTGTGCACGAGTTGTTTTAAATGTTAATATTTAATTATCTGGGTTATTTGTGCCATCAAACATCATTAATTACAGAGATAAAAATACCTATAAGACACAAGTCATTGTGTCATTTATAGCGGTTAGTACGAGGATTCGATTAGCGTTTCTCGACATCAGCAATTATGTTGTGCGATCTGGACATCGCGAAGTTTCGATTTCGCGACAGAATTCGTATTATAAACTGGCAAGGTGAGTCACAACTCATGCATAAGCGGAAGGATTGCACAATTCTGGGAGATCTTTTCTCTTGCTCTACTCACTTCTTACTACTTACATTCTTATATTCTATCTACTGGTACGCTTTGTAGCAACAATTTTGCTAGTGCCGCACAACTTATGTGGAATGTGTTATCTATCTCGCTTATATTTTTTCTCGTCAAACTTTACAACTTACGTTGTGCATTGCAATAAAGATAAAAAAAATTCGACTTATGAGATTTTTACAACATAAATATTTAATATTTCACATGAATCTCCCGAAGATGATTAAAAAATGTCAATACGAGTTTCACTCTCAATTTTTAGCCAAATATGTTTACTTTAACCATTATTTTATTAAAAAATTAATTAATTCAATATTTTTCAGCTTTCTTTCTTTTTCGTATAATTATTGAGAAGCAGACTTTCAAAATGCGTTTTTGTCCAAAATTTGTAATTTTTAATAAACGAGAAAGAAGAAAACTACGTACTTTATAGAAAAGAACAATAAGTAGGATATGAAATATTAAACAAAATTGCTTAACAATTGCTAAAAATGTTAAATAAACGCATTTTTTATTTCTAATTAAAAAACGCAATGCATTTCGAAATGTCTTATATTTTTTCAGCATATAAATTAACGATGAAAAAATATTTTTGACATTTCAGAGTAACTTATCATATAAATCATTCAACACTGAACACTACGCTATTACTATCTCCTAAAAAAATAAAATTTTGGACAAAATGTATTTTGAAAGTCGCTTCAATTGATATAATCATATATTTTGCATTACTTATCTGCATAGATATTTAAATGTGGCGAGGACGAAAAAGTTATATACAACAAAAATGAAGAGGATTTTGTAATCAATTATAATCAGCAAATTGAAAAACTATTTATTGATAGCTTATCCAAAGAATTTTCCAATCACAGGTGAGTTGCAACATGAACTGTAATCGCATAAAAACAGACAAACTGGAAATCATTAGATAATCAAACTTAAATTTAGTTTAATAATCCTATTTATCGTAAGATCGTATTATGTTCTGTTAATATCTAAGGAATTAAATGTTTCGCTAAAATATCTCCTATTTCAGAATTATCGCGGAAGAAACGGTATTTGCAATGCAAAAAATGCCAGAATTGACAGACGCACCAACATGGTTCCTCGATCCAATTGACGGAACGTCAATTTTATGCATTCGTTGCCTTATTTCAGCATAAGCATAACTTTGGTGATCCGCAAAGTGCTTGTTTTAGACATTATCTACAATCCATCGAACTCAGAGTTCTACACTGCGACAAAAGGCAAAGATACTTTTCTGAATGGAAAGCCGATTCACGTCTCTAACATCACTGGTAAGGTGTAGAAGCGACACTATTAATATTATATTTTTTAAAATATTAATTTTCGCCGAGATTTCATAACAATTGTTAAAGATTTTCAGAATGTTACATTTTTCATTTCGCAATTATTCTATATAATTTGCACAATATTTGCAATTCATCATAATTGATTTCTATTATGTCTTCCCATCTTGCAAACTCAGTACTAAATATATGTTTGTTCAATAACAATTTATTTTTAACAGCAAGCTCTGGATTAATCACACTATATTAATCACACGTTGATTCATTCGGGGGAAGAACCGTAATAATTTCGCGTCGAATAGGAAAACATCTGATGTGCACCTATAAAAAGTGCATTCTTATTGCTTCAAATTTGCTCATTTTGCAGATTTAAAACAAGCAATGCTAGGGATTGATGCGTCAGTTATAAAATATGTGAAAAAGGACAAAGATATATACAGCCAGACTAATTGCTTTAATCGAGGCGACGCAGGCGTAAGTAAAACGAATTATATATTCAAGATCAACAAATAATTGATGCACAATTAACTTGAACTGGAAATTTTATAAATTCACAGAGAAATGATTAGGTATGAAAAACCGTGCCTTGACCGAATGGTCTTTTTCACTTATAATGTAATATATATTTACCTAGCCGTAATATATATCTAGTCTGTGTTAGATACCTATTATTCTGAAAAGGTCCTTTTTATGCGTTTTCAATTCAGTAACAGAAACATTGGATCAGCTGCACTGAGCATGGCATATGTAACGCAGGGTGTAATAGATGTCTTACATCTTGGATGTTCTCCTTAAACCTTGGGATGTAGCAGCAGAAACGCTGCTTATACGCGAAGCGGGTGGAATTGTTATTGACTCGAAAGGTACGATAACGTAAACAATAAATTAATAAAAACACAAATATCATATGGCTAAATTTTACAAATTTTCCGTCGCGATATGAATATAATAAAAAAAAATTTTTCTCTAAAAAATTTACCCCTAAAATATCTAATATTTAATTTACTGTCTAAAAGAAGATAAATATTAACAAAACTCAAGCTCAGAAAATTGACTTGTAAAGCAATTATAGATAAATATATTCATATTGAAATACTTTCATTATGATGAATAAAGACAATTATTTTGTACAATCACACAGAACACAGTCAAAAATTTTAAATTTAATTATCAGAATTATGCAGGGTTAAAATCAGATGATTTCTTATAAAATAATACAAGATCTTAAATAAAAGTAGTAAACGCAAAGTTGATGATTACTGCAAAACTAATTATTATAATCATCTTCACAGGTAGTACTTATGATATTATGAAGGCAAATACTATCGCAGCAAACAAAAGTCTAGCACGAGAGATATATCTAAAATAATCATCGATACAGATTTAACGCAAAGAAAAAGAACCTGACACAAGACAAAAAATAATTCACGTTAATTCATTCAAGAGCTGAGTGAATAAAACAGGAGAAGGTGTGTTCCGGTAGCGAACGTATCTATCACGTAATACAAGGAAATTGTCTATAAAAATCAGTCTAAAGAAGTTTCTGTTAAAAAGTTCCATTGACGCACTTACAGATGTCATATCTACGAGATCAATTCGAATATATTAACCAATGTGCAATATTGTAAAATGAGAATTAGCAGTAATTAGTTTTTTTTACTCTGGATCAATTTCCCCGTGTTATTACGAATAAAATTAAAATTAAAGCACTATCAAATTCATTATAAAATTTTATCATTCATCATATATTAACGCGGTGCGAAGATATTGATAATATAATAATATGCATTTTATACACAATAATACAATTTATTCCCCGAAATTGTATTTTATATTAAAACAATTATTTATTCTGTAACATTATCAATATTATTTTTCGTGTTAAAATTTTAGATTACACTGTTTAAATTAAATTTTGGCACAATTTATGAAATTTAATAAACATGATAATGTTAGTATCGTATTTACTGATAGGTATATAAAATGTAATATTAGAAAAAAAGATTGCTTTAATTTATTCTGTGCGTAATCATAAAATATTATTAAGATGTGTGAGCGTATAATAAATAGAATTATTTATTCAAAAACTGGAAGGAGATAATTTGTAGGCGGCCATAATAATAAATGATCATGTATATTATCCAAGATCACTTATTTTTTAGTGAAAAAAAAATTATAATACACGCATTCACACTTCTTTATTCTCGCTAGTATGAAATTTGCGGTAGATATTAATTTAAATAATTACCATGCAATTCATCAAATCGACATTTAAATTATTCTTCCATTAAGTAAAACTTTTTAAAAACAGTTTTTTATCAGTATTCTCTACACATTTGGTAAGCTTTCTGATTATTGAATTAATACTATTAATTATCGATTTTTAAAATAATAAAAAATATTAATTACCATACATATTAATCGTTCCATTATTTAAAAACATTACAATATTGAATTAAAAGTCAAAACAGTTTGGTAGGTTTCTGTATGCCGTCTTATAAGATGCTGACATTAGAAGATAAGGTAATAAAATTAATTATCGATGTCCTGAAAAAATTTTTTCTGATAATTTTATTTATTGTGTGCGATGAATATTCATGGCTGTTGTCCGCGTGTTATAAACTGCCTTCAATTTCTTTCATTGCAATAGATGGTCTCAATGTACAAGATATTTTCGATATATAATGTATATAATTTAAATGATCCTTTTAAACGCATTATTGCGATGTATGCCTTTTTTAAGCCATTACAATGTATAAATAAATAAGCATTATTATGTCACGATGTATGACAACAACAAAAAATACAAAAAAAAGTATTGATTCCAATAAACATCAATATTGGATTTCGATTTAGTTCTTGATAAAAGATAAATACATTTCAATATTTTAATTAAAATGAAAAATATTTGCAAAAGCGTATTAAAGCAAATAGATATAGGCAGAATAAAGATCGAGCCAATCATTAGGAAACATTAAATACTTGCGCAACACAAATGTGTAAGCTGCAAGTAGAAAATCTTATAGACAATAAACGTAGGAAATGATAGAAATCCCGAATCAGAAAAATATTGTGATAATAATAAAATTCTAGAGATAATTCTCAATAATATCAATTTCACAGAAAATATTTATGTAATCAATAATGTTGTATATTAATAAGTCGAGCAAAAAAATTAGCATAATTGTAGGTCTCTCAAGAGATTCTGCTTCCAAGCAATATTTCAGATTTTTTAAAAATACATGTTTTTTACTAGAGTAATTCTTATTTCTCTATTAAACTCAAAACAATCACAAACATTAATGAAATAAACATTACAAACAGGCCATAAGGTAAAACAGATATATACATTGCAGAGCAAATATAAGTTTAAATAAGCTTAAGCTATAGCATATATAAAAACGTAAAGCAGTAAGATATAAGTAGTAAGCAAATTGGCCGAACATAATAGAGACCGTAAGGTCAATAACGAATTCAATGTTACGATTTCCTTATGGTTTACGTCTTACTGCTTTATATTTTTCTATGTGCCAGCCATGTCTTGTGAATTATTACAAATATTTTATGATTGAGTCGAGTAACACAATCAAAAATAGACTGAATTTAAACTTTTATCATAATTTATGCCTAACCACTAAACCACTCGAGGACGCGAAACTTGCAACACCTATAGTTCCTATCGTGGAAATTAACGCAAAATTTACATATCTTATTACGACTTCATATTGCTATCTATCATCGCAAGTGAATCACGCACACACAATAGCTGTCGTACTATTTGAGATATCTCCCGAATCATTGCGAAGGATAGTATTATTAAAAATTCGTAATTTTTTAAATCGTTTAGAAAGAGACTTTAAACATCGTATGGGAAATAAACCAGTGAGATAGCGTTGATCATTCTATCCTCTTTATAAAACAATCGCGTCGTCGGGAGACATCTCACATCATTGTGGTGAATGGCAGGTGCGTGCAATTAAGTACATCTCAGACGGAATATAAAATCAAGGTCTATTTTAGAATGGCATTATTGTTATCTCATAAAGCAGACAAGACGGTCTTGAATAGATATCTTCAAATCTCAAAATACATTATTTACATCCAGTTTTATTAGCTCATTGTAACAAAAAATCAACGTGACATGTTAATTAAAGAATTTAGATAACAATACTGTAATCAAAGATATCATATGCATATAACAAATAGGTAAATTAGTAGTTTCCATTTATCAAATCTTTTCTTCTGTTGACGAGTAGCAGCAGTTAAAAATTTATAATCTTTAAAAGACTTCTCTAAAGGAATTCTTAAAGCTCTCGAGGTAAAAACTTGATAGAATGCGCCGATCGTTGTTCTCGGATCGTACCTCCTGCTGCAGGCGCGACCGATTCGAGTGAAAAAGCACGAGGTACAGACATAAGCAACACAGTGCTAGCTCGCGCCTTTTGCTGACGAGGTCGAAACAGACGCCTTTTGCGCGTTCACCAGGTTGTACGGAAATGGCACGATACGCCGAGGACGTGTACTACGAAACTGCTATTAAACTGACGCGCGAGGCTGCCCAGGTGAGCATATATCACAAGAACGATCTCATCTTCGATAAGAATGAATGTTCCACGTGGTCATCGAACAAAGCATCAATGAACTGAATGAATTAAAAATACGTATTAAACGGTATCATTATTGAGATGATCGCTTGTCAACCGATATGACATTGGGAAAACACACTTTATATATGCTTCCATAGTTACATATTTGAGGATGACGTGAACGGAAAGAATGTGACATTCTTATAATGTCAGACGTGAAATCTTCTTTCAAATAATGTTAAGAGTCGAGTGTGTTATGTATCATAAAGAGATGTCTACATCTAAAACATTTTACGAATTTACGCTTGTCATCATCTATTCTTTCATCATCTCCGTAACATTATAAAACTTCTATAAAATTAGAAATCAATTCCTAGAAAGATATCAGAAGCGACGTAATACATGGATAAAATATCTAATTAAATAATTATTATATTTGTAAATAATAAAAGAAATCTTGACGTCAGTTTTTATGAATTTTTATTCATTCTGCGAGCGGCAAAATTGATCAATTAAAATTAAATTACACCGTATAATTTTATCAAAAACATCAAAGGTTATTTAATTAGCAATTATTTGTCACGTCTCAAAAATTGAATTAATAAAGAGAACATCCTAATGACGTTGTAATCTATTAGCGATAAATTCAATAATCCTTTCAAATTTTCTAACGATTAGAGATTTTCTAACGATAAACAAATCTATTCTGCGCTGTGAATAATTTTTCCGTACTCAAACAGGAAAAATCAAATTCGCTGTGCAAATTGTGAAATACCATAAATCAAGCGATCTTTAGCATAAATCTTTGCACAATCATACGCATAAGTATAAATTGTACATTTTCAAAATGTGGAAAAAGCATTTATCTCACGAACATAATAATCGTTTTATCTCATTTTTTAAATCTTTTTTGTTTATCTCAGTCTTTGTATTTTATTTGTGTATTCGACGATTTTTCAATGATTTTATAATACGTATTAAATATTAAGTATTGCTTAAGATTCTGCGAGATTCTATCAACGGTTTCAAACATATCAAAGAGAAATTGGGCGATTGGGACCTCGTCACCGAGTACGATCGACAGATAGAAGATATAATAATCGGCGGACTCAAACGAGCATTTTCAAACCACAGGTAGTAGACATTTCTCAAACAACATCGTATCATTTGACAAAAAGCAAATGATACACGAGTACGGAAAATTAATTATATATATCCAACTATACGATTAGGTTTATCGCAGAGGAATCGACTGGCAAAGATCTACCAGAATTAACTGACGCTCCAACGTGGATCATAGATCCCATCGATGGAACCACCAACTTCATCCATGGATTCCCGCACACGTGTGTGGTCATCGGTTTGGCCGTTAAAAAAGAAATGGTCCTTGGTATCGTGTACAATCCAATTCTCGAGCAGCTATTTACGGCTAGAAAAGGACGGGGCGCGTTTTTGAACGGAAAGCCGATTCAGGTGTCTAAAATACAAGGTAACAAACTAGTATCTGTAATTTGATTTGATAAGATATGCGATGTGGACAATACGTCAAGAATGTGGAGAATGACATATGAGGATATTTTCCTGTGCAGTAATAGAATCTGCTCTAAGTTCTATATATCTAAAGATCTCAGAATAAAAGAGTTAATGTAATAGTTTTGTATTAATACTGAAAGTAGGACAATCAATGTCCTCCTGCGGTTAGAAAATATAAAAGATATATAGATGTATCGTATTTCAGGTTATTCGCCTCTTTACCTTCAAGTTAAAGAATGACATATATTATAGATCGACTCTTGCTAACAGTTGCGTTGCAACATGCTAATTGTAAGTGCGTGGCGGTAATGATCTAGAGAAATCATAACTACACTTTAGAAATACTCGTACATCACAAGGATAAAATTAGAAAGCGTCATTGTATAAACGTTATTTATTTCACAAAAATGTTAACTCTATATATATATATCGAAATTTCGCAGAATTGTCGAAAGCTTTGGTCTGCATGGAATCAGGCTTCATAAAAGTAGATGATCTACGAGAAAAGACGATGGAG